ATGATACACAACCAAATAAGTATAGTATTACTGTAAATAATTAGTATACGTAAATATAATAATAGATAATTAATGCATGTACATACATATATATATATATATACATAAACATGTAACTAAAATGTAATAGTAGATAAATAATATACAATGCTATCCTCATTTACTTAAAAAAAAACTAATATATAATGCAATATAATATATATATATATATATATATATATATATATATATATATATAATCTGATCAGATAATTTATAATCTATATCTAATTTGTTAAGAAAGCGAATTATCAAATTTGGATCATTATCGATTTTTTTTTTCCAATTCATATTCGGATAATCAGACCGGATTCGAATCATAATTCGATCCATCGATTGATATATAGCCAATAACAACTTATTAAAGTGGGATATAAGCCAAAATCACCTACCATTTACTGCAGTGTGTTACTGTATGTTCTTGTTTATAAATTCAGTTAACCTTAATTAATCTCTTTGACATGTATTCAACAAAAATAAATAAAGTCACTTGACTTAATTAGGGTACATTATTGCAGCTTATTCTGTGAAACCGAGAAGTGCTTCCATCATGTTGAGCTATTCTACCATGTCACATTTAAATCATTTAATTGTACTAATACCATTTTCTATGTGCGTGGACATTATATAGAACTGTGTAATGCAATTGCTGTAATATTGTAACACTAATTAAAAACTATAATTAAGCTTTGCGTAACAAATATGGTCCCACGCACTTTGTCCTTTTGTCACATCTTCATATTTTTAATGACCCTATTATATTGCTTGATTGGTATGTAAATATAAAAAATCACACACAATTCATATAATGACTAGAATTAGCAAAATGTTACACTCAGAAATCAACACAAAATGGGTTGTTTTCATGTTAGGGAAGAGAATTATGTACTCAGCATATATTATTCAGTACCACTAGGTGTGTGTGTGCGTGTTATATACAAGAAGTTCGACAAAAGATAGCTTGTATTGGAATGAAATATATTTATACAGCACCGCGCGCGAAACGAAAATATTAAATTATCAAGGAAGGTCGATGAAGAAAAAAATGTTTGCATAGACCTACTGCTGATCGAACCATTGGTTATATATAACCTTTAAATCAAAATAAAACAAGTTGATGATTCATTAAAATACTCTCAAATTGAATTTTTGAGTTGGTTTGAAAAATTGAGTTTGTTTGTTTTAAAATATTTTCAAGCTAAAAATAATGGGAGTAGCTTATAGATAAATTGATTGTTGGAATGGGAACAAAAAGTGTTCCGCTAAAAGATTCTAGGAACTTAGAGTTAAGTGGATCAAGCATCTGAATGTATTTGGTTGAAGTGATGATTTTCTTTTTCTTTTCTTTTCTATTTTTTTTTTTTTTTTTTTTGGTGGGGGTTTCAAATGATGACTTTGTATAAATGATTAAATTAATCCATTATTAGGTTAGTCTTATTTGCTAGTGAGGTGAGCTGCTTTTCTCCAATTTTTAAATCTTAAAATTTGTCTTTTACTTAGAACACATCAGTATATACAAATACGTATATGTATACACGAGTCATTTTTTTCTGAGTCGGATGTTACCTAAATATCAGCCAAATTCAACTTCCCTTTATTCCCAAAATTTTAGCCTCGTGAAAACTGCTGTCCTTCTTTTTTTGCTTTTCTTTTTTTTTTAAAAAAAAAAAAAAAAAAAAAAAAAAACCACTGCTGTCCTTTAATAGTTGACAAATTCCAGAACACAAATTTTGGTTGAATGGATTTTGTTGACACGGTATCATTAATTAATTAAAATAATTAAACTGAGTCCACTTCATGGGACATACATGCATGAATTGTCATGCAACTACAAGTTTAGAATTTAATCGACATAATATACTCCGACGACATAGATTTAATTAATCGATGATAATGTATCAGCAAAGTGACATTGTATCACTGTTGTACTAAATTTGGTAGGTGACAAGATTTATGAAAATGGCATTGTATCACTGTTGTACTGAATCTAATAGGTGACAAGGTTTAGGTACTAAATAGACATATTATTATCAATTTCTATGGCAGAAGACAAGGTTTATGTAATACTAAATAGACAATCTTGTCACCAAGATATATGGAAATGACATTGTATCACTGTTGTACTGAATCTAATAAATCACGAGATTTAGATACTAAATGGGCAATCTTATCACCAAGATAAGCAACTCAAATGGACTGCTAAATAGGCTGTCATTTTCAAAATATAGCAGGTGAGTTTAACATGGGCTCTCCAATGGACTGTAATAATATAGCTTTGCCAAATCTTGTGCCAATTATAACACAAACTATAGCTATTACTATTGCTTCTGCCAAACTGAAATATATGGGTTTTGAACTTCTGATTCTTGTAGATTTTGTAGTTTGGTGTTGTGCTTGTGTATGTCAGTGTTGGTATATATGTCTGTGTTTATATATGTGTGTGTGTGTTAATCCAAAAATTGCCTAAATTTCAAAATTCAGTTGGATTTGATGATTTTTTTTTTTTTTTTTTTTTTTTTAATAAGGCAAACACTCACAAAAAAAATAATAATAATAATTGGTTGTTGAAAATTGATAGTTGGAAATCGTAGTTGAAAAATAATAGTGGTTGCATTTTGGATGAAATGCATCAACAGAATTGCTAAAATATAGCATTTTAACATTGTAACTCCTATCAAAATATAAATTTGGCATGTAAAAATAGCATTTTGCATTGGAGATGGTATAAGTGGTCTATAATTATATGGTTAAAATTTTTTTTTTTTTTTTTTTTTTTTTAGAGAAACAAAAGGAAAAAAATTAGACAACCCTATCCTGGACATAAACAGTTGGAAATGAAGAATGATTCATGGGCCACGTATTCAAGTTGTTGTTTGACGCAAATCCTAGAAAGGGAACATCAACAAAGTTCTAAAACGAAGGTAGGATTGACAGTAAGTGCCTTAATGGTTCAATCATTCCACGGTCCATGACCTAAAAAAGTTGGGCCCAAAACAAATTGAGACGCAACTTGTCTATAGACTCGGGCCCAAATTAATGGTGGGTTTTTAGCAGGCCAAACTCCTAAAAGAGTCGAAACAAGGTTGGTCCGGTGTTGCATTACATATATTGAAAATAAAATAAAATAAAAATAAAAATTTGGATTCCTCTCAATTCTTCGACTTTAGTAGCACCACTCAAATAAAAAATGGAGTATAAACTGTGAATCTTAGCATCTCAGATTCACAATCTATGGAAGAGGCATTCGAGGCAATAATGCCCTGTAATACATCATCAGAAACTTCTACTATGGGAGTGACATTTCTGAGTCTAATACCAAAAGAGAGGTTCTTAAGAAAGAAAACCAATGGACTAGCAAATTGTGAACTCAAATAAGCAGTTTTATTGAATATTTCAGGCAACCAGGCTTTGTCATTTTTATTTTTTTTTTCCAAAGTTAAAGCAAACACACACTCATATTCACAACATGTCCCTATATATGTGTATATATATATATATATATGTCACAGGAAGGATATGTAAAGGATAATAATGGATGGTGATAATAACCTCGGAAAAGAAAGGCATGTCTCCTTTAAATTCTACAGTTTAGTTTCACTTCACCATGAAAAAAAACGTACTTGAATCACCATATCCAGGAGAATGACATACCTTGGATTTGTAGTCTGTCTTCCCACCTATAAGCAAGTGAAAGAGAGTGAAGGGATCTACTGGCATCAGCAAAAGCAACATCTATTTTCTGAGGAAGACAATAAGCATTAGAGAATAGAGAGAGAGAGAGATCACCATATGATGCATGAATATATTGGTTGTTGGGATACAGTGTGAAGAATCTGGTTCATATTCTAAAGGCATAACAGCTAACAGCTATGGGGATAAAGCTGATGGGTGACACTGTTGGAGTTGGTAAGAAGGGAATTGAAAACAATATGGTGCATCCATGATTGATGATAATGAAATAGATTTCTATCAAAACACCTCATTCTTACTTGTCTCCCCATCATTTATACACTAATGTCACTAGTACAACCACCATTTGAGATTATAAGACCCCACATGGGTTATGGGTCCCAACGACAATCAAGCTAGACCCAAACTTGATCAATCCAAATTAAGATTAATGTGTGAAACTGAAAACGAAATTGAAGACCATACTGGTTCACTTTAAACTAGTGTATCAATTTCCGCCCCCCAAAAAATATATATATATTTCCATTGCTTCAAATGCAGAACCCAAAATAAGCATTAAAAAAACAACATACTTCATAAACATAAAAGTAAAATGTGCAAACTATTATCTTGATAGGTGAGGATAGAAGATAGGTTCCTACTGCCAACCCTAACTTTGACAATGTTGCAATGGAACCACTTAGATATATGGTGGTCACTGGTCAAACCATCGAGGGAATCTTTGATTTCATCTTCCGCAAGACCATGTTAGGTCATTATTTAAGGTGGTGATGCCCATATTTTCAAGGGTGGAACTACTTTATAAGATAAAGCTGGCAATATTCCATCAAAAAGACACAATATATCATGTCAAAGTCAACATTGTTGAATATTGTATATCATTTCCATACCTTTCCATTCCAATGTCAGGCTACCAGCTCCACAGCAGCGAGAGATGTCAAACACACACACCCAATTTTTGGAGAAATTAAACACCCCCGTCTTCAAAGTTTTGCAGGCATGGTCACATGGAATACAGATATGGAGTAGATGATTGATGCATAAACTATATTCTAGCCAAAGACCCAAGCCTATAGCAGAGATGATCATTGATAAATTATATAGCTCTAGAAACGAGTTAAAACTAGACTCGTTGACTCAAATTGAGATTTAAAAGAGCTGAGCATGTTTCATGAATCTCACATATTCCATGGATTCAATTTCATCGCAATTCAATCAAACTAAAGGTTTCACAGCGAAAGATTTCAACGAGTTCAAGCTAGTCGTCAACAGAAGTAGCAAATTTGTACACAAATAATAATATATTGCAGCGACCGAACTACAGGTTTCACACAATTCAAAGGTTTCAGTTGGTTACAGTAATCTCCAGTCTGCTAAAACTCCTAACCGCTCGGGAGATATAGGATGGTTAAATGCAAGTTACATTTACAAATAAATATCAGTACAACCTATTGACACAGCTCTATCAGTCAACATAGACAGGAGGAAAACCAGATTTCGCAAGAGGATACAATGAGAGAAGGTTCAGTCAAGCGCTGAGGACATGAAATCATCTTCCAACAATGCTTCAATATCAATCAGATCTTCTTCGAAGTCACCTGTATCTTCTGAACTGGTTAAAGCCCCATTGTATACGTTCTGCAAGATAAATCAAAAGAAGAAAAAATCATGAAATTTCAGTGGTCACCATCCAATTATATGGTAGAATAATGTTGCAATATGCAAACAAACACCATCCTATCTAGGAATCTAGTGAGAAAGAACTTCATGAACTTAAACTGCATAATTGTTACTGGAAAAGCACGAGAATCTTGCACTCCCAGTTTTAAAGTTCAGATTATGGTCAGTCATTGTCAATTACGAAGTAAAATGGCAAATTACCTTTTTGTGATCCGAAATTTAATTAAGTAAATTTGAAGATGTGTTGATGTCTACGTAGTATGGTCTCAGGTACGTGTTTCAGGTGTATGCATGTATCATATTTGCGAAATCCCCAAACAAAAGGAAATAGATATGTAAATAAATATTCATACTATATAATATACACAAATACTTCATGCAGGCTCCACGTAACATGGGCTAATATACAGGTAATGCGTTTTTTATGGTTGCTATGTCTATGGTTTATTTGGATCAACTCATAAGATGAGCACATCCATTATTTTATCATGCTCTTCATGCTGTGACGTAAAAACCAAATTGACTGAAATTTTGAACTAGTGCGGAGAAGAATCCCACTAATATGCTGTGTTTCTAGTTCCAGTGACATGCAGTTGTGCCCACAACTAGTTAACATATAAAGGTGTACGCATAATTTATACTTCTGGTACAATATTTGACTTGAAATCTTAAAAGCAGGAGAGAGACTAAGGCCTGACTCTCGCTTCCAGATTTAATTTTTGTTATGATTCAAGTGCCATCTGATATTTTACAAGGTGGAAATACCTTGGTTTCCTGCATCTCTGTGACAACAGTCAGCAGCCTACGGTACTGATCTCTAGCCTCTGGATACTGAACCATAGACTTCACCCTAGCTAGGGCCTTTTGCAACCTTTCTTCTGTTTGCTTTCTTCCCTCTTTCAGGAAGTCATAATCATCCTCCTTTGAGGATGTGTGTTGCATGCCACCACCAGGAAGTGCTTCGGATTTGAATCCACGCAACCCACTTCCCTTGCGTCTCCAGCGCAAAATTACCTTCTCCACAATTCCTACTGACCAGATTATCTTTTTATAGTTCTTCCTTACCTGAAACCCTCTTACATGGGCCTTTCCACCATAAAAGCAATATGGTTAGAACTCAAGAAAACTTAATGAAGAAAAACATTGTTAATTAGATCATGTTTTAGAAGACTAAGTGCATAAAAGATTAAAGGAGCCATAAACTTATGCCGAGTAAAAAGGGCAACAAACATGAGAACAATGAGGCCAAATAGTGAATAAGATAATGGACATAAAATATGAAGGAAAGTAATAAGATACCTGAGAGATCTTAAGAAGAAATAAGAGTGCCTTGATAACATTTGACCCAAAAAAAAAAGAAAAAAAAGAACATCTTGGCCTCAACTGATCAACTTTGAGAAAATAGCAGTTCAATTTCTGTTATATGTCCAAAGGGCCTGAATCTAGATGTCCTTTCATACAGGTAGTGTCCCTTAGTGATTGTGCTGTTTCACATAATTAAGATTGCTACCTTAATTTCACCTATTCAAATAGATGTGTAATAAAGATCATATGATTCGTTATTATGTGGTACAAATTGCACCTTTACACAAAAAGTATGTCCATTCCTTGCACTAAATGGGTGTAAATTCCAACCATCACATTGCTTCAATCAAATAGACGTGACTCTCAGACCAACCACTGCATCAATTCTCTTCATTGATGCAACTCTTGAGACCTCCACAGCGCTTTCAGAGGCTTCCAACTTTCTTCTTTTATATATATATATATATATGTATGTATATATATATGTATGTATGTATGTATAATATTGGAAAGGCCCAAAGCCAAAAACCATTTTATTGCTGTAAAATAGTTCTAATAAATAAAATTTGCAAATCTCTATCAGCAATTGCCTCGTACCTGTATTTTAACAATTTGCTGCCGGATTGTCAAAAATTCTTTCCTGCCTTTCCAACTACGGAATTTGTTCTGTATTCGAATTGCGGCAGCTTGCACTGGCCCGTCATGTTGTCCCAGCCTACTTGTCTTGACAGCCACAAAAGAAAGAGCACGCTCATCTGACATTCCAAATTTTTTGTCTCCGTACTCTTTCAGCTGTTTTTTTTGGAATGACTGCACCCTGAAGACTTGATGGATGCGAGCAGCAGCTTGAGTAGCATTACAGACAGCAGCTAACGAATCCTTCAGGGAGAGTCCATAAGGTAAGTCCCCGTCACTAATTGGAGTTGCAGTCCGTTCTGACACAGTTCGTACCACTTTTGTCCCCAAAATATCTCCAGCATCACGCTCCTCTGTGTCCTTCAACTCAAGTGATGAAAGCTGGAAGCTTAAGGCAGATTCCGCAAGAAAACCAGCGATTCCCTTGTGTCCTTTGCTGGAAGCTAGGTCAGCAGGTGTTCTGCCAGAAGGATATTCTGGAGTAGGATCCGTTACTAATCCAGGAGCTGCACCTGAAGAGATGAGGAGAACAACTGTGCGCTCTCTAATATTTACAAAGGTTCAAGCAGGAAGAAACCACCAAAAACAATGCTAATTAGAATTACTAAAATTTGAAGGTCAAAAGAGATACTCCTACTAATGAATATTATTTAAAAAGCAACTGTCTGCATTATTAAGCCATACAATAAACAGACGCAGAAGAAATTAATATTATTTTGTCCACCGAAAAAATTAAAGAATGAAAATGTATCAGAAGTAATTATAAAGAAATCACTAATAAACCATTCAAGATCCATACCTGCCCCAAGATGCTGCCCAATGGAGTGCAGTCCATCCATTAACATCCCGGAAATTGATACTCACACCAGCAGCTATTGTAGGCTGTATAGCCCAATCATAACCAAGGGCAGCTGCATAATGTAGCACACCTTGACCTTTCTCATCTAATATGCATGGGCCTTTTCCACCTTCAGCACTCTTCTGAAGAAGCCATACATGCAACTTCTCCTTCAGTAACTTTTGAAGCAGCTGCTCCTTTATTTTTACTGGGGACCACTCATCCTCTGCAGTAAGCTTCAACATTTGGTCCCACTCAAAATCGTCATTTTCCATTGATGAACTGATTTTACTGCACAAATAGGAATTCTCATCTACATTACTGGAGCCAGAAGTTGGGGCACTGAGAGATCCCACAGACAATAATTTTCCAAATCGCATACGAAGAAGAATTTCGGTTGTGCTGCAACTATCTGTATCGGCGACATCCACATCTAGAATATTATTTTCTCGATATTCAAATTCTCGCACTTCACTGCATGCTAACCTATTGGAACATGTTACATAAAAAGGAATCCTCCCAGCCTGGTGCAGGGGAGTATGGCAACGAAGAACACCATCTGCTATAACCTCCGCTGGAACTTCCAGCTCCCCAAACATGCATGACCACTTACACTTCTCTACATCACGTTGACTCTTCAAGAATCTTCCCGTAATCAGGACCTGGTTGTGAAATATATAAGAAGCAGTGAAAAATAAGAATATAAAACATTTTAATTACTTCTGCAACAACCACCACCACCAAAAAAAAAGTACTCGTAATATAAGATCCCTTAGCCAGTTTACCCATTTATGGTGAATCACCAAAACATTCAAAAGCACAATTGAAATCGTAACAAGGAATATGAAAAATTAGATCATAATGTACCTTGATTTCTGATCCTGCATATGCCCAGTTTGGTGAAAAATCAATAATGCTATAGAGTTGGTCCTGGGAGAGAGAGGGAGCCAGCATATAGGGATCCAAGTGCGCCTGGGAAGAAATATTGGAAACATCAACTCCATCCTCACTTCCAACAGTCTCCCAGTAGGTCCCAGAACTGGACTGCATATGTGAGTCATTTACATCTTCAAGCTCTTTACTCATCCATCGGTCAAAGCTGTCGAGCTTCTTCAGACCTTCTTTTAGAAAGCCATCCAATAATGGTGGTCTCAAAACAGAATAATCAGCTTTTCCCTCCACAGGCAGATTGTTACCTAGTTCTGCTTTCAGAGAACTTCCACCTACCACGTTTGTTGGCTGAATTTTAAGGTCATTTTGCATGGGATGCTTATTTTGATCAGCGGGATATGGATGGTAAGGCTCTAGAGAATTGAGTAGACCCGCATGGTTAACTTCTTCTGGAAACCTAGCAGTAAGATTATATGCCAAGTCTGGATGCAACTTTCTATCCATGGGCCACTTGGACATGCGCGAAGAATCCCGTTCAGAAGTCTGTTTGCAATGAAAGTTAATACATGATGAAAAATTACATTAATTGAAAAAAAAAAGAAGAAGAAGAAGAAGAAAGAGTAGCCTTTACAGTCTGATTTGATGTTTTTGCCTGAACTAATAGATGCAAAAATACAGGAGGAGTTATTAAGATTATGCAATTGCTAGTAGATATGATAATTTTAAATGATCTTATATCTTGCTTCATCTTTGAAGCGTACTGTGGCTTGATTCTCTATGAGTTCTATATCAAAAGCAATGTTCCTAGCTCAGAGGAGAGCTTTTTTTGGACATGCCAATACCTCCCTGCTGCTAGCCTGCTAAAGGTTAGGCTTGTGTTTGGGTGTTGGCGGCTGTTCTCTGGGTTCAGGCTTTGTACTCTCCATTGCTACTTTCTCACTCTCTTTTCCCATTGCTTTAGTACTCGTTCCTCCCCCTTCCCCACCCCTCAAATCCTTTTCTAGTGCCCCTCAAAACCTCAAAATAAAATAAGTTATGAGATTATGATGGACAAATCACCATCAACTTTATGTTCTCATACAAAGACATTGATCAAATAAACTATATTGAATGGTCATTGATGGTTCCAATGGCGTAAAATCTATGTAAGGTAGCAAATAAATTTTCCATGTGACGAACAAGCGTTTGCTTCTAAGATGTCAATTGTATACAATAAGAATATTTTCGTCAATACTATGCATTGTTTTCAAGCTGGCTTCAGTAGCACTTCCTTTTACTATAATGATATACAATTAGTGTATTACTAGAGATTTAATGATTGCAGCATCATTATATATTCCTGGTATTGATTTATCTATTATCCAATTTGAAGGAACTTCTTGTCCGTGCAAATTTTTGTGAATGTGTTGATCTCCAAAACTCTCTTGAAGGAAAGTAAATCCACATCACAACCATAAACATAAAAGCATATTAATCACTTCGTGTGTTTGTGTGCAGAGAGAGAGAGAGAGAGAGAACACAAGCCCACAGGGCAGCAGGGTAGGCATAAAGAATCTAGGCATGACCCAATTGAGGAGTGGTCCTGGAGCTGCAGAATACAGCCTTGAGGTGGTATTCCATGAGGAGATCAAGTATTTTGCTGCTAGGGGAGACCCCTTCGAGATGCACCTCACCGACCGCTTTCACTGATGAGATAAGTGGTACTGAGGGGTATCCACGGGTCCCTACTCAACACAAAGACAACATGTACATGGCTTTTCCCTTTACTAGTAAGGGGCAAAGATCATCAGCTTTTAGTCATCTATCTCGCCACTTACTCCTTTTGCAAAAAGGCTTTGCTGATAGGATCACACTCGAGAAATAGTCTACTTCAAGGCTGCAGAGAGAACTACGCTCTGCAGGTGGGCACTACTACTCATCATGTCAAGACGGAATTCTGGTTTGTTTTTTAAGGTAATCAAAAAGATTTGACAGAAACCAAGCATACATTCAAGAGACAGAGAGAAAGAGAAGGATTAGTTCGTGTCCGGGTCAAGGGGACAGGTGACCTGAAGCCTCTTCCTCCAATAAGAGTAGTCTACCCTCTGTTGTGTTGCTATAACCTAGTCTTGCTTGCTCTTACCTCTCTGCTTGTTCTCCGTTCTTTCTGTTATGAGAATACCTCCCTTGCCGCCTCTACTATCGTTCAGCCCCCCGGGAATCCCTTGCTTTTTGCTACGGTATTTATTTGCCTTTTTGGACTCCCCCCTCAAAACCACAAAACTAGTGGAACAGTGCAGCACGGCACAACAGCAATACGACGACAGATATGCTTACCAACAAGAGAGAAAGCAAGAATGACTCCCCCTATCATTTAAATGCCAGAAGATAACACCAAGCTCAGGACTATAGGAGGATTTTAGGAATTTGGGGTATCACTTGTAATAAGGATGAAGTCTCATTCATATATTAACACCCCTAGCTTGCGCCCTATTTGATATTAAGGCAGGTTTGGAACCCAGTCCTATGATCCCATCACAGAGTATAGCCAAGTGGCAAGGGATCGGTTTTTGGTACTCGCAAGCAAAGGTTCAAATCATTTTACTCCAGATTATTAACACCTGATCAGATCTGTCAAGAACGAGCTAATGACTGCAGGGGAAACAACTGACTGCAGTCCCTTAGCCCAGCTTGTAGCAAACCAAAAGTTTGACTGGAACCTACTTTGCTAAGACAAGAGAGAGAAGGAAAAGACAGGCGGAATATAAAAATCCTTCCAACCGGCAGAGTGAGGTCTTGGTTTCAGCTCCTGGGGGCGTCACACCTCCATTCTGCGCTTGCCCGATACCCGTGGTTTAAGAGTGATCGTGTGTTCCTCGAAGGGGGTGGGGACACGCTTCGTTACCGAGAGAGAGAGAGAATAATTGTAATGACCCCCATTAAGATGATGATTATTAATATTTGTCGAATTCTTATTATATTCACCCATGTTATACCAATTTCCCACCTAAACATATATCATGCCTTATGGTATAGAAAGAAATATATACAGTATACTCTGGACCATTCTGTACCTGCCCCTCTTCCTGGCCACATGGATGACTTCCAAAGTCCTGCTTTCTGGCAAAGCCGTCTGCAAAAACTTGCCCCATTATCTCATTTCCTTGTCCGGGAGTAACACTCATGGAATCAGATTGAGCAGAGGAAAGTGAAGGCTGGAAAGAAACAGATTGAACTTCAGCAGTATAGTTCTCCAACTCATCATCCCACAACGAGTAGTCAAGATGTTTCCGGGGATCATATGCTGAACCAGCAGGGATACTGTTTTTATCTTTATCTCCTTGAGTGACTGAGGAAAAATCCATCCCAGGTGGCAACTTCCTTTGATAATCATCATCTGCTAACAGATTTAAGGATTAAGACCTTCTGATATGTCATGTCATGTAATAGTGCCCAACTATCAGAAAGTGCTGCAGAAATTGCAATATAGATAAAATAGAACAAAGTGAAGAAAATATATTACTTGAAGGCGGCATTGGATAATAAGGGACAGAAAGTCCATCATCTATTTTCTTCATAGCAGGCTGCTGTAACTCCAGAAAGGAATGGAATGTGGAACTTGCTTGGTGATTATATGCTGTGCACCAGATATCATTTATTATGAAGGACTGGTTAAGAAAAATCATTACTAATCAACAGTTCTACAATCCACAAAATAATATAGAAATTTTAGTGTGAGATAAAGTCAATGTCAATAGACTGTAACTGATTGGAAACTTAAGACAACAAATGTACCAATAATGTACCTGACTCGGCATCTTCAAATTCTGAGGCCTGAGCGCTGGTCAGGCTTGTTGTATCTGTAGTTTGTGAAGTTATTTGGTAGCTATATGGGTGAAATTTGGAAGACGCTGAACTGTCCGCCTCGGAATTGAATGCATTTTCTTCAGTTTCTTGGGAATAGGGAATACCTTCTTCAGCTTCCCTAATGCGGTTGAAGTTTGTCTTATTGCCCTAATAAGAAGGGGAAAAAAAAAACACAAGAAAATTCTTACTCGAAGTAAAATTTGTAATTTGAGATAGAAAATTCAGGAAATCAATAGAGGCCTGATTTCAAGTAATAGCCAACATATATGATGGCACTGACACTCAAGCGAAAATCACATTTCCAAAGTTCAAAGAACATATGCATAAGGAAATCGTAGCCTTAATGTAGTCAATTAGATTAAGGAGAATAACTTCTACACTCAACCCAATTTTTGGATGACACTTGTGAGACTTAACCAAAACATTGAAATTCGATGTTTCCAACAGTCTAATTAATATTTAGGTTCTCTTCTAAAAAAATCCAAAAAGGAAAAGAGCGGTCGGGGATTTAATTCTTGTTGCTGTAAAATAAAAAAGAGGAGGGTTATAATTCAACGAACAAGTAAATCACAATAAAAATACTCCCTCCATCCCTAAATAGAAGTCCATGTTTAGAAATTGGAGTTTTTAAGGGGACATGCAATTAATGCATTGTTCCCTTTTAAAATTACTAAATTGTCCTTTTTAATTAATATATATATAGTTACAAAGTTTGAAATTTTTTAAAAAGATAAAGGACAATGATGGATATATAATAAAAAGATGCTTTGACTTTTCAACGAAGACAACTAATTTGGGACTAGTAAAAAGAGAAAAATGGACTACTATTTAGGGACAGAGGGAGTAGTTCCTGAAAGTTCTAAATTCTGTTCATGAATAAATATAGGAGTGAATGCTTTAAAAAAGTTATAGAGAGATGCTTATAAAGTAAAAATAAAATAAAATTCCATGATAAGCAAGGGAAAGTATTCACATGAATATTCGGTAAAATAAGGAGTAGAAATGAGGGAATACCAAACATTGTTGAACAAGATATCAGGAAATTGATATGACCCAACCAATAGCAAAGCTTGGGTTTTGGTGTCTGAAAATAGGGTTCAACTTGAATTTAGGCATTGGGCAACCTGATCTAATCTGATTTTAACTTAGTGCATAATCCTTTTCTTATATTCAAATACTTAAATTTGGTTTGCATATTAAAATTTCCAACAGCACTATTAATACAAAATATAGTCAGGAGCACAAGAGGATGAGTATATAGTTCAATCGCAACCAAGTCCAAGTTTCTCACAGATACGAGTAAAAGGGTAAAGAAATATAGACTGATGCAGTGAAAAGAGGAAATAGTTTTGTAAGGTAAAAGAAAACATGGCCTTTGGTAGGGGGAAAAAAGAGAGAGAGATATCATATCTTGGAATTAAAAGAATGTACAGTACTTGATAGGGATTCATGTAGTTGACCCCTAAAATAGATTAGACAATGTTCTAATGATTTGGGTATGGAATAATCAGGATGACATTATGTCAACTCTCCATTGCAGATTTTGCGCAGAAATGGAGGTTCCTGTAAATATTACAAACCATAAACCTGAAGATACCACAATTATCAAACCTTGCCAATTAGACAACAAGAAGCAAATGTACAATTGTAACACCAAGTGGAATATTACCCCTTTCACCACTGCTTTACCTATTTTATTTGGTCCTTAGGTCTTATGTGGTCCAAACTTACTTAGCCTCTCCTTTTTTCAAGTTGGACTATAGACACTTTTGGGCAACAATGCAAAATGATTTCAAGTACTATTCCCTTTGCTAGTTTGGAAGGAGAGAATTCTTCAAGCTTGTGGCTTTTTATATGCCATGTGAGTAAAATCAGGTTATGGCTTTGAACAGGTGTTCTTTATCTTGACTTTTTTTAAAGGGGTTAGAAGGAGGAGATCATATGCTGATAGGACATTGTTGGATGGCTTCAGCATCCTTCTAAGGGTTTCATCTTATAACCTCTCTCTTATTTTTTGGGAACTCCAACTCATTTCCCTTGTTCCTTTAGTATCCCAGTAGGAGATTCTTGGAGATAGAGACATAATGGATCTCGTACACTAAATGCATAAAAGAAGGGAAATGAAAAATAAAACTAATGAATTCAACAACAAACGGTACATATGAAATATGTAGGAGAAATCAATGGTGAACGCATCAATGTTCCTAAACAAGTTTGTCCCTGAAAGTCAAAGCTGTTTGGCCTGGATCAGGTTGAAAAACTGTAAACTGGCTTTGACCAATTGTAAGATGCGTCCCCCCCTCCAAAAAAAAAAATCATTTCGCAGCAATAATTAACGCGATTGGACCTCCCAGCCACTGCAATAAAGCAATGTACAGACCAGATAATGAAGCATTGCTGTGTATTAAGGGGTGTGCATTTGGACTGACCAATTTAAGAACCAAACTGAAGCCGATGTCCGCGGATCAGTTCAGTCCAATTTCGCAAGGCATTGGTTAGGTTATGGGAGCTTGGTTTAGTAACTTAGCTTTGTACTTCTTTGTTCTTTATATGGAAGGTAGGACTTTAACGCCCACTGAAACAGAGGTTTCTTTCTAATGTAGGGTGAGAGCATCAGCAAGTGAGGTTCTTGCAGTTAGTCGCACATCAACTGGCAAAGGAAACTTTTCCTTATCTTTTCTCTATATAGGCATTGCCTCATCTTGAACTCCTAAATATCTTACGGTTGGGATCCCCTCGAGCCGGCCACATTGGATGGTTTGCCATGTATAGTTAAGAATTAAATATTAGTTTTTGTAAAAAAATGAATTATGTATATTCAATGTATAGAAAAACATATATGTGTGTGCATGCTCCTAATACATGGTGAACCGGAACTGTTCAGACCAAACCGAAAATTTTCACTTCTATTTGGTTCGATTCTTTTAGACCATCAATCTGAGTCTGCACTGTGGAACAGAGAACCGAGTTAGGTTGGTCTGAGTTTGGGTTGGTCATAAACAGCTCCAAGTTGCAACCCAAACCTTATGCACCAGGAGATTTTTTCTTCTTTTTTTTTTTCTTTTTTTTTTAAGGTTTTATGTAAATCAGTTGAAAGAGCATTCAAGTACTAGCAATGTTGGAGGTTGTGGCTGCTGCTGTTAAAATGAATTAAAATGCCATAAAATTCAAAGAAGAAACTGAAGAGAAAATGCTTAGTGAGAGGCAGTCCATAACATCATCCATTGTTGGCATTATTGGAAATAGTTCACCCAACTCTTATTCAAAGCCTATCTACACACTCCAACTGGCCCTTTTGAGCTAGTCAATAATACGTTGAAGACAGAGCACTAGCATGATGAACCAAAGTGCTAAATAATTGACAAGATAATATTTTCCTTCCAAGTGATATGAACATCGTAACAGCCACTATGCGGCTATGCCTAAAGGAAACAACAAGTCATGGGCACATGATGGCTTGAGAAGTGGTCCAGGGGTAAAGACAGAAAAGGCTATATTCTTCTATTTAGGCATCAAAATCATCCAAGATGGTTATGAAAAAATAAAAGAGAAAGAAAGAAAGAAAGGGATAAAGTTGTAACCTTGACTTCCCGGTAGTGGACAAGAACTATGTGTGAAAGTTCCCTGCAGTAATGATCAACCAGATACAAAACAAATGAGAATGCCCCCAAAAAAGCCCTTCTAAAAAAGAAACTAAAAGAAACAAAAGCAGGGGGGGAATCAACCATGTAACATGTCATTTTAAAGCAATAAGAGTATGTTGCATCAAGTTGGTAGTAGCTAATAGTAAGAAAGTTTACTATGCTAGCACACACCACTGACTTGAAGAAAAAGTAAGGTGTCACTAGGCATATTTAATGTGCAAGGGAATAAAAATCACAGTTTCTTAACAAGCTATCCAAATAGCAAAATTTGTCTTGCCCTCAGCTGTATAGAGCTAGGCAGCAGGAATTAGGAAACCATATATTTCAGTGAACTGTACCTGCAAGTTCGATGCACGGGAAGGGAAAATATAATAATAAATTTATTCAATTCTTTTATAAGGTAGTATTTTGACATGATGAAGTACAAAGAAACTGGCATATACACCCACACACACAGTTGTACATACAAGCATACATATGTACAATTAACTTGGCAATCTAAGTTACATTCACCTCTACTTGTGGAAATACTTCATTGTACTTTTGTTTATTCATAGCGCCATCATTTAGATGAAGGCAACACAGTCCAGATATGAACTTCACAGTATAGATGGTTGTGCATACAAATCTAAAAAACTAGCTTGCATTACTGTTAAAACACAAACTAGATCACAGGTCATCCTCATTCAAAAGATAAAAGCACATACCAAGTACCAACATCATTTGCACCACAATTATTAATACAAAAATGTCAAGTATCAAGAGTACACGCAGAAAGACAAGAAGAATATGTCAGATGAAGTAAAAACCCCAAGTGAACAAGGGTTCCATGCTGTAGTCTGCTCATTGGAAGTTTTTACTTCAACTGAACACTAAATTATGCAATTTCAGGGAATCATAAAGTAAAGCATGAAAATGAGAAAACAAAATTCCCATGTTACCTGGACTCAGGTCAAGTATGGGGTGCGGGTATGTGTCCATGTGTTGGACCTCCCTGAATTCCAAATCACACGTGCACTCAACTTGAAATGTGTCCAAAACTTGGATACAAGTACATGGGCATGTCTTGCACATTTAAAAACATAATATGCTATATAATCGTGGAATTTATGATGCTACTTTTCTATAAAAATATAATCAAGGGTAAAGTGCAAATAACCCCCCTGATCTTTACTCTCTCTCTTAAGAAACCCCACTGAACTTCTATTTTTAAAGTAAACCCCCTAAACTATCTAATTTTTTGCAAAAAAGGTCAGGCAACACTGTTCCGTCATCTAATTATCATGTGACCTAGGCTATATTTTCAAAATGACAGTGCTACCCTTATTACTGTTTCGATAATTAATGAATAAAAGCCCTAAATTGTCCATTTGTTAACCCTAATTTTCGTTCATAAATCATCGCCTTCTCTGTGGAAGTCTCACCATGGTCACACTCTGCAATCCACTCCAAACTAAACAACTCCAACTAGAACCACTCACAAAGACCAGTCAACTGCATGTTCCACGTTCAAACCCCATTATGAACTATTCTTCCTCCACCATTAACACTGTAAGAACCCTTTTAACATTTGTGGGTTCTCTTTGTTTTCCAAAAAACCAAGTATGTGTTGAAATGGCTATTCCTTACCCTCATTTTATTGGATCGGACAAATCAACATGGTATACAAGATCCTTGATCTAGCATCTAACAGGCCTCTGTTCAATTTTATATATATATATATATATATAGATTGCGATATTGAGGGCTGCAATGAAAGTTCCCTCTTGCAATGGGTTTTTAAGAGGGAAGAAAATATAGAAGACAAAAGGATCTATTAAAAAAAATTACATTGATGCAGAGACGAGAGAGATAAAGTAACAAGATGATTGTTGAGTGGTGGTGTGGGAAGGTGCCGGCGATGGTGGAGATTGCCAAACACAAAGAAATTTTGGGGGCAAGCCAAGGAAAGAAACAAACAGACGCTGAACCAATAATTTGGGGGGAAAAAAATAAATCAAGAATTTTAGGCTACCAAGAGCATAATCGACTTCCATTAAAACGGGTGAGAGCCCAACATCAAACTCCATGACCACCGGCGAGAAGCTTTAAGCATCAACAACGCAATCACAATGACCCCGCTGAAATTTATTGAAGAACCAGCTCGTCGGCCAAGTCGGCTACCGAAGGCTGCAATTGGTCGGCGATATCATCGGCAACAGAGAAGGAAAACGTAACAGAGAGCATAGAGAGAGAGAGCGTTCTGTAGAGAGACCGTGTTTGGTGCTAAAATAAGTACTGTAAGGTCGTGTTTGGCAGTTATGTTAAGTGGTTATTGGTGATAAGGTGATGTGTTGTCGTAATAGTATTAGATGTTCAGATTGCATTTGCCACGTCAACAACATCAGGTGCTAAAACAATTAAACGGCAACGTTCCACTAAAGGGTAGTCTAGTAATCTAACATTTTGGATGACCTCCGGTGACCGTGATATTTGATTTTGTCCTTAAAGTGCAATTTTTTGATAGTTTAGGGGGCAATTATTAGTACAGGGGGGTTTTGTGAAATTGACTGAAAGTTCAGGGGGGTTATTTGCACTTTACCCTATAATCAATAATAATTGAATTGAAATGGAATATTTTGAAAATATATATACTTCATCTATTCTAGGAGCAGGAAACCGTTGTGCGCTATCAAATTTGAACTTTTCTTCTTCTTTTATCATCACAATTAGAGGATTCCGTTGTCTAATTTGGGTAGGTACGTCGGACACAGATCCCATAGACTTGTGTCAGGTCATGTTCGCAAATTTATGATAAGGGGATAGGAAAGTCCATGACATAGCAAAATTCAAGTCACAGAATTGAATCTAACTATTGTTAAATTGGACGTAATATTGATTTGTGGAAGTTCATGGAAATTGTCAAAAGTTAAACCATAGCATGGACATCTACATAATTTACAGACTAATCAATTATTAGCATGATAAGAGAAAATGAGTGGAAAATGTAAGACCCTATATTTCTCCTTTAAACCATATACAACTCATAGGAATTCCAAAGCAAAGCGAAGAAGTCTCAAAATCATATATAACTGGTTTACCAAATATTATCCACAATCAACTTCAATTCAGCTAAAAACACAAAAATGGAGTTCTATAAATATTGGCTGCATATATATATGCACATGTACATATGTACATGCAAATATGTGTAGTACATGCATATGTAGACAAATATATGGAGATTCAACCAACCCATGCTAATTGATCTGAAAAAAGAATAGCTAATATCAAAGGCCACTACCAAATGGTAGTCCAGACACATTGAGTGTGTGTGTGTGTGTGTGTGTGTGTGTGTGTGAGAGAGAGAGAGAGAGAGAGAGATTGTGCACAAACAGAAAAGTTAAATAAAAAAAATCAATAAACGCAAGGCAAACTTCAGTACACTCACTCTTCAAGCATCCAATAACTGCGCCTTTGAAAATTTTCATTCTCTTCTCCATGGGCATAGTAGCAATGCAACACATCAATACTCCCAGCCTGAAAGGCAATTTGTTTTCAAGAAAAATTAATTTGAAAGCATGAAAAAAAAAAATCAACACAAGCTATCAGCAAATAGTTGGACTATTAATCATAATTACATGTAAAAGTAAAGCCTGTTCCAATATAACTGTAAAGCATCATCTAGGGCATTTACCTTAAGCCTCTCATGAGCTTCCTTCACTGTCTTTCCATCTTTTTTTTTCCTCCAGTTATGTCCATCTTTTCTAAAGTATCTCAAAACCTTCCGATCAAAAAGAAAAAGTGAACCATCTGAAAAGAAGATGCATGTCAAACCAAGGTTATGTCCAGGAGAAGACACGACGAAAATGAAGAGAATTTTGATGAGGAAAACTCCCTCCAACAGACACAATGACACTTTAATAATCATAACCTTGTGCATAAAAAATTCACTTACAACTCAAAAGTACAAATAATGTTGTTCTATTAGCTAAACATGACCTGACTGCAAATTCTGAATCTCTAAATTATCAGGTAAAAAAGAGAAATAAAGAAACAACTAATTGAAGTAGTTCAATGAAGATAAAGATGCAATTTTGAGACCAAAATTAGTTAATCCTCATATTCAATAGTCAAAGAAGTGTAATAATATGGAAGAAGGAATAATTAAAACTGCAATTAAGGTATGGGAACATAGAGGTGAAACAGTACTATCATTCTTTCATATCAAGTAAATAAGAAGTGAAGAACCAAGGCATTGGATGAAAAAGTATGGAATGACATATCATGACAACTGTATTTCCAGCAGAAACAACCAGTTGTTTGGAGAATGACATCTCAAGCATAATCTAATCTACCAATGGGTAAACATTAAACAATGACCTGATAATAATAGATGACCAAGAACATCAATCGGTTTGAAAATGGAAATCTCCATTACAATGTCATTTGAAAACACAAGACAATTGCACTAGGCAATGACAAATATAAAAGTCAGGCATTAAAGTTTAATGTAGAAAGTTGTGGAGATTAGAGTGTGTTAGGCAAGGAAGATATCGAAGGGGAAGAGGTATGATGTCAGAAACAGGAAGGAAAAAAAAAAAAAGGAAATAGAAGTGAAAAAAAAAAAAAAAAAAAAACTTGAAACTAGGAGGATGAGAGAGAGGTAGTTTATGGAACTATAAAAGGAAGTTACCATTGGCTTCTATAAATGTGCCAAAGAGAAATAGAGAACTATAAGGAAAAATAGGAGATAGGAGCCAGTTAAGGAATAACACAATTTGAAAAATTACTTTGAAGAAATCTTTAACAGGTAGTTAATCATAATTGTAATCTTAAACAAGTAGTTGTTTTTATTGTTATAGTTAGATGTGGGTATGTGAGATACAGTTTCAAAGTTCAAACTCCTTACGAGACATAAGCATGTGGTTTTACTAATTAACATGATTTACCAGCTAAGCTAGCAACCATGTTTAATAATATTAAGAATGATGATAACAACAAGAAGGGTTTAAATGAGGTAGCTGCACATAATTGCCCATCCCAAAGATCTCTAATTTCTATTATGTGCAAGTAATTGACTTTCTACAGTGCATGCCTACAAAAGCACCAAGTTTTGAAAGATTGATTATCATCCACACTAGTTGCAGCACAGACTTGATCTTAGATATTCAATACAAAACTTATCAAAAAAAAAAAAGATATTCGATACAAAAACAAAAACCAAATTGAACTACAAGCAAGTTGGCCATAGAAACATTTTCCACCCCCAACCCATTCAGAAGGTTATATGATTATGATGCAGGTAGTAAGAATCTCAAGAAAGAGTACATCTAAAGAGAGACAAATTTGTTGTTTAGCTTTTAGGCTGGGACCAAAAATCAGTATCTTAAGTTGTCTTGTGTCTTATCTAATGCTTTCTATAATTTCTTTTGTTGATACTGGTTGAGTTTATCTTCTTCTTTTTTCTTTTCTTTTTCTGATAAATCCATATTACATTAAGTTTTGAAGTCAATGTAGGTCCACAAATCATGTTCTGTGTCAAGTTTTCCCTTCGGATACCCATAATCATCCCAAACCACGGGTATCAGGTAGGCCCAAAGCATGGGTTTAACACTCCCAAGAGTTGAACACGAAATGTCTGAATTGTGCTCAAAGACTCTAAACCAACCCGGCTACCCTGTGGGGGTTGTTTTCTGTCAGGTTACTTATTGTATCTTTTTATTCGGTCTTTAGTTGATTTAGACAGAATTGCTGAGCAAAGTCTAGAAGCTTCACAATTTCAAGTAAAAATCACTGTTTTGAGTAGAAAAAGTGCGGCAGTCTATGTATGCCTGTGTAAATTTTCAAGTTGAATTGATACCCAGGTTACTGAATTTTAACAAGTTTTTATAGCACCTTTGGGATTGTTCAATGCAATTCTAAACATATGCATTTGCCTATACGAATCTGAAGTTCTTTTCTTTTGTTTACTGTACTTTCTTTAAGGCGTAGAACCCCACAATCTGTTTAAACCCCATTATTTTCTTAAAACTATTCAATTTCACAAGCCCATGCACCTTCCCTCTCAAAGGCTCATCCAGGATGCAGATTCCAGGAGGAGGTCATTCACAGGGATTATTCACGGTACCCCAAAGATCCTTAAACTTCCGCTTTTCTTGCCTAAGTATGACTCGAAATCCTATCCCTTTCATACACCTTAAGAAGTCCTGAAATCCTCCATTTTCATTAACCTTATTAGCCACAAAACCCAATAACTAACAACTCCAATAGACTCTCCACTGTGTCTGTACATCAATTATCAAGAAAGAATTTCAAAAAACTTTTGTGTGCTTATGTTCCAATCAAAAGCTGCTAAGAATCATACTTGGAGGCTTATTTGCGGGCTCCGGAGCAATACGAAATTTCTTGTAATTTCGAAGTATTTCACAAATTTCGGCAGGACGTAGCCATCGATGCTGTGCTTCTATGAGTATTTGCTCAATATCTGCATTCAACCACAATCTTAGTCAATAAATCTGCACAACTAAGTTCAAACGGGAAAAAAGAGAAGAAAACCAGGCATGGAAAAGCTATTTAAAAAAACAAGTTCAAAATTAATTGCTCTATTCATCCATTCTAAAAGCATATGTATATGTATGTACTATAACAGTTGCAAAATTCAAATTTTGTCACGTCACATCTAACAACATACCCTCTCCTTCTTCTAAGCCATTTTTTTGTAATCATCTTGCCTCTTCAGTTCACCTAAAATCCATTTTATTATAATTCATGGTATTAAATTTTTTTCATGGTTGACTCGAATTTTCATCACTCCCTCTCCACTGTTTTTCTCCTTTCCATAACAACTTTGAACTTTTCTAGTCTCTCCAGCTTAATCTTTCTGAAACTTCCTTTTTTTCCTCTTTTTTACGTTCTTCCTCCTTTGAGCTATTTAGAAGTTCATATTGTTTGTTAGTGATGTACAGATAGCAACATGACTAGAATAGCATCATAAATCTAAATTACAACCGAAAATATGCTTCAAACTAAAAGAGACATCTGCGTAATTTTGCCTAACAAGAAGGGAGATCAAGGTAATTTGCTCTAAAGACATAATCATCCTTCTAGAATATCAGTTATTTATAGGCTACATAAAGCAGCAAAGTTATCTAAAATGGTTTAGTTATGACCAACAAAAACGAGACATTTAGGGAAAAAAATATATATATACAAAGACCAGAGACTAACACAATCAGGAATGACTGGTTTCTGAAACTGAAGGCACTGCACAGGCTAAAAGAAAGTGAGAAAACAAATATAGTATGTGAGAAATTAAAGAGAAAAATAGGCTTCATTTCGAGTTGAGTATGGAATTTCCGTTACAGTAAAAAGCAACCCAATTATTATATGAAGACAGTCACTACATTACTACTCGTTTCTTTTAAGTTTCTCATCCTCTTCAATTTCATTTAAAATGAATTATGTAATAAGCACATACATCGTCACAGAAAGTGACTCTCATAAGTAATCAAGTATCTTTTTCACTCTAAGATTAACCAGATATATGTCTGGTGAATAAATTTTTACGGTCTTTTTTCACTATTCTCTCTTTATACGACCCTAAAAAGTTCATGACATTACAAATAACTGTCCTGATCTTATCATTTTAAACCAAAAAAAAATATTCGATAGTAAAAACACAAAATTCCCAACTTACTCCAGCGCCAACAATGGCATATAGCAATTACAATATATGTGTGAGCATGTGTGAGAAGAGAGATGGAGAATTTCAGTGATGATACAAAGTTAAAAATTTACAGTGAATCGTAAATCAATGAGAAGCAATTCAAGAGACAAACTAAACAATCAGAATTGAACTACGATCACTAAAATCACATGAAATTAGGTCAAAGAACCTGAAAGTTTCCAATTTTGATAAACTCACCAAATTGACCAGCAAGGCCATATCGCCGAGTCTCGGCCATGAATTGACTCACTGTGTTCGCAATCAATTTACTCCGATCTCGAAACTCGAACTCTTTCACCCAACAGTAGCATACGATTCAGAACTATCCTTTAGACCTTGAACTGTTAGAACGAAAATTATGGATTACCAATTGAGCAAATGAAACTGAATCGAAGTTCAGCAATCGTCGTATACGATCAAGATCGTGAACACCGAAATTTTTCAAGAAAAAGGAAGGGGATAAAAGAGGTAAGGAAAATTTAAAGAGAAAATTAGAGTTTTACAGTTGGGCGACGAAGTTACGAAGAAGGTAGAGCTGACAAGGCCGCCGAAATGGAAACACGGTTTATTCAGAACGAGGCTTTCTGAGTGAGCGAGCGCGACTTTGTTTTAACGTGAATATCGGGTTCTCTTACACGGTTGTACTTTTTAGGAAAAAGGTTGGATGGGGCGCACTCGCCTCAAAGCTGACATCCTATAATGAGCTTAAAAATAAATTTTTAAAATTATTTAATATATATGAATTTTTTAAATTATTTTTACATATATGTATATAAATTTGTACATCGTGATGCCCCTAAAAATATTAAATTTTCAAAATTCTATTAATTTCCATTTTAAAAAAAAGTCAATTTTTTCTTATTCAATCCTACTCTAATTAAGCTTCTTTCAAAATTTTATCATTTTTCGCTATCTAATTAGGGATGACAATTTGATCCGCCCACGTGATTACCTGCCTCGTCCCGTTTTTAGCGATTTTGGGGGTCCGTTTTGCTTATATAGGCAGGGATGGTTTCAAATAATAAAAACCCGCGTCCCGTCCCGTTTTTAGCAGTTTTGGAGGACCGTTTTGCTTATATGAGTAGGGATGATTTCAAGTGATAAAAACCCACGCAGGTTTGATGCGGGGTGGGGAGAGGTCGCCCCACCCTGCCCCGTTTAGATAGGCAAATTACTTTATTACTTTTATTTCAATAGTATATATATTTACCACTATATATTAAGTACCCTGTATAACAATATTAAAATAATAAATGAATTTGATTAAAATGAAAGTTGCAACAGTGAATAATTGAAGATGAGGGAAAAAAATAAAAGAGCAAATATATTTCAACAATAAATAAATTGTGGTTTTAAACGGGGCGGGGCGAGTACTTACGGGGTAAAAATGTTAAACGATTACTGGGATGGGGTGGAAAATTCTCCCGTTTTTGCGATTTTAAACGACAACGAAGATGAAATTTTTAAACGGTTACGGGGGCGAGGAGGGTTGTAATACCCCTAGTTTTAAAAGGATAGTCTCGGCATTTTTAATATTTATTGTATTGCATTTTTATTTATTTTATTGTCTTTATTGCATTTTTATTTATTATATTGTTTTTCATTTGTTTAATTGGTTATTTGAAATTTGAATTAAATTGGTTTTATGTGCATTATTTGGTTTATTTAAATTCTTAATAGTTGTGTCTATTTGCGTAAATTATTAATTATATTATTTGTAATTCACAGTTTCTTTTGGGCATCAACATAGGATTTAATCATAGGTTTTGTTTATGGGCCGACTAGGATTAAGATTAGGGCTCTGTCTCTAAAATTACAAGGATTAGGGTTTTGGAGTTAAACCTATAAATACAACCATTATGCTTTAGTTTAGGGTTTACAATTATAATTCAGATTACATAAACGTGAAGTAAGTTCTTAGCACGGAGGGTTGTGAACGGAGACACTGTAAAAATTGTCAAGGAGAAAAACAGTGAGTACCAAGGGAGGATTTTAGTGGATTAGACCAGAACCAGAGGAGGCTAGAAGGTAATCTGTGGTTGCCGGAAGTTAGGACGATGGCGACAAGTTTTGAGTCTAAAACTACAGGCAAGTTCTTATCTTCCTTTTTCCCTTTGGCTTGTGTTCTGTGCACCTAGACAGTCTCTAGGAGATTAATTGGCCTTAAACTTAACCATGCATGTTTTATATATGTTTTACTTGATCGTTTTATCTGTGAGATTTTATTTACAAAACAATTATAGCATGTATGTTTTCCTTGTCTCTGTTTTGGCATGAAACGTTCCACTGTTTTACTTTTGGTTTTGAACCTTACTGCGATGAACCAAGATCTAAATGGATATTAGATGTAATTTAAGTCCTTTAAATTTAAATTAGAGGAAGAACAAATGAGTTGGAAGGGAACTGTTGTGGTAAATCCATTTCAATTTGATTTTAAAGTATATGCAGTTCAGTAGCCATTTTAATTCAAATGTAATCCTTGTAATTGATTCTAGTTACTGTAATTAAATTAATAGGAAGCTACCGGGTGTTAATTAAACTTCTAAAATTAGTTTTAGAGACCAATAGTGTGTTAAGACTGGATCGGAGATGGAGAAGATGAGCTGAAACGGAGCAGAGACTGAACGGGAGGCTCTCAAGGGGGGGAGAGCCGGCTCTGGAAAGCAAGAGCCGGCTCTCCTTCAACAAGAGCCGGCTCTGGAAAGCAAGAGCCGGCTCTTCTTCAACAAGAGCCGACTCCAAGGGAATTTGGAGCCGGCTCCAAGTGAGAAAGAGCCTGCTCTTTCATTTTAGAGCAGGCTCCAACCTTTTGTAAGTTCTGAAATTTGTTTTCACGGCACTGTTTGATACTTTTGACACTATTTGAGCATTTGGATGGTTCTGATGGCTTGTAGGGACTTCACAGAGGGCTTAAAAGGTTAGTTTTAAATAATATTAAACCTCTTGTTGTATGGTTTAAGTCTCTGTTATAAAGGAGGAAGCGGTGTAAAACTATACAACCATGCATGCTATTAACAAAAAAAAGGAACTGAATGGCTTGATTAAATTTCAGAAATTTAACGGAACTTCACAGAGGGATTTAATAGTTAATTTAGGGTGTGATTAAAACCTTGAATTGATTTAATTTGATTTATGGGAAAAACAGTATAAAATTGATAAATTTTCTACGCTGATAACGGATGGAGGAAGGATTAGTTGCTTGATTAAATTTTATCAATTTAAGGAGATCCAGTATCCTAATAAAACTTATTTTTATTAGGGTCATTGTTATATTAAATTTGAATTATGCATGGTTTGGATGTTAATGGTTAGAATATTAAATTCTTTGATGCAAATACATAGATTAATATTAGATTTTAATTGCTAGATTGTTAATCTTCTTTCTGCAATTATTTGGACAGTGGTTTTGGACTGTAGATTACTTGTTCATTATATATACATTGTAATTTACCTGGATATGGAGGATGGTATGTACCAGTATGGGACGGTGACATACTAGGAACGGTTTAGCTCCAAACACCTAAACCTAACCTAACGGATTTAAGGAATGGATTTATAAATGTTGAATCCTAACTTTGGTTAAGACATGTCAACTGCAACTAAGTTGAGTGGCTTTTTGGATTAATGGACGGAGGTTAAGTCACATCAACTGAATAAGTTGGGTGACTAACCAGTTGGTTTGTTGTATGTTAGTTTATTAAATATTTGAACTACATACCCTGGATTTGGATGGATGTTATATATATGTTTATGGTACCACGAGCTGAGCTTGAGTCTCAGACTCGTTGGTTAGGGTGCGTATATGCGGTGGTGCGTAGCTGGTTATAATAGATTGAGGTGTACCCTGTTAGGTTTAGGTACTCATGCCCACCTTTGGGTGCGTATTCGCATGTTACCTTCTATTCAGGTTGAGACCCCTATTATAGACTAGTGAATGTCCCTTAGTGTGGATATATTTATACTTATGGACTAGATAGATATTGTGAGGTGTCTACGGTGTATCTGTGTATCGGGTCATTGTATGGATTGTAATTAGATTAGAACTTGCTCGTGGGTTTGACCCACTCCTTTATTATTCTTTTCAGGTACAGGACGGTTCCAGCCTTAGAGCTTGATCGTGCTTGTCGAGGACAGTCTCACATTCATCTGATTACGTAGGATTTTCTCGATGTTTCTAGCATTTGCTATTTTAAATTTTCAGTTTCAGTTGAACTTTTGGTTAGGGGTCCACCAGTGGATTCCCAAGTTGTAACCTGGAAGTTTTGGGAGGATTGGAGTTTTATTATTTCAGTTATGCATGGAGGGTTTTATAATTTATGTTTTTTCAGTTTTATTCCATCTTTCTTATTTCATTTTGTCATCTGTATTCGCTTTAAAATACTTTAATTGTTTTGATATTCCCTCGGGTTTGGGCCTGGGCCTGATCAACCCGTGTCTCGGATCCGAGGGGTATCACAAGGGTACACCCGCCTAAACCCACCCCGTTGCCATTCCTAATTATAAATATTATTATCCTAAAAAAATCTACTCCATGTATATATAAATTGGAGTCTTACTTATCAACTCTTCAATCACTAATTCACATATCAGTCAGTAAAAATGGAGTCGAAAAGTATATAATTTTTCTGGTAAATAAACTTAAATTTTTCGTATTCTCTTTGACTCGATTCAAGTTCCTTTGAAAGCAAAGGTGTTGAACCGACTTTCGTTGACTCTTTTTTTAGACATGTTTAATTGACTTTTGAAACTCTATTAACTCATAACTCGAGTAGTTAAGAATTATTTTCACTAAAAGTTCGTAAATTAACTAATAATCTAATTTATCTCTTGGTAATCTTGATTTTGAATTAAAGTTCAAGTATAATCTCAATAATGTGCATGAGATGTAACTTGAATTTGAGCTTGAGCTCAAATTGTGAAAATCAGTACTTGACTTGGGTTGCAGTACATGTTGATTTGGTTTAATATAGCAAATCCTTATCTGAGTTTTTTTTTTTTTTAAGTTTTTATATTTTTTAGCATGACAGACCGAACAAAAACTACAAGACAAAAATATATATATGAAGATGCAAATAATTTTCTCTTCTATTTTGACATAATCTCATTACATTTTCAACTAAAAAATAAATCTCCCCCTTTCTTACTCTCTTCACTGCCCTTTTATAGGCAATTACAAATGCTGCTAGACTATTAGTTTTGGGCCTTCTTTCCAATGGGCTTGGCCTTCTTCGGTGGATCCTCCGAACTCGGCCCATTCTCTGGTACTCTTGTATAGGCTGTATTTCAATTGTTTGCCCCGATGCCACGTCCGCGGACTATAACTGGCCCATATCACTTATTGTATCCTCAACTGCCCCCATAATTACTCCCTAATAATTAGGGGGTAATTATTAGAGGCTGTTAATCATGACTTGACGGCTCGAGAAGATCGCATGGAAGAATGGACGATTAGATTTGGGGGTCGGTGCTTCGAGATTCAAAAAAACTCCTCGCTTTCCTAACTCCTCGGCCTTCGGGCCCACCTTGTCTTTATAAGCCTCATAGATGTTCCATCGATTCTCTTTACCGTCTCCATCTTACTTTATTGCTATTCAAATCTTCTCCGGCGATTTCTTGCAAAAGTTCATTTTTCCA